GTATATTTTAAAAAGTGACAAAATAAAGGTTGAAATGTAGTTGCATCTAGTTATGAAACAGAGCGATAAGAATTGTGTTCTATATGAGCAATTCTGTAACTTAATGAAGTTATAGAACGTTAATGAAATGCATTATGCATGCAAAAAAAAATATCTTCCAGTTATGTATTTCAATATATTTCAATACTGAAATCTTAGTCAGGTGCAAAGATGAACATAGAAGAGTTACTTAGTTCTGTACATTTTGCTTAATTGTGTTTGTTGAAAGGATATCATTTTCTCTTTAAAGAATAAGCTTTGAAAGAGCACGGGTAACTTTTTTTTTCAGGTATTTAACCTTTAGAGTTTTTAAGTACTTAAGTTATAATCTCAACTTTCTCCCTGTAATTTAGGAAAACTGTAAAATTACAGATTTTTTAAATAGCTGTGTACACCTCCACAGCATTGAGCTGCCTACGTGGGCCTAATCTTCAAGTAGCTGAGTTGAGTTTGGTACAAAGGTTGCTGAAGGAGGTGGAAAAAAAGCGGTCTTTTTAACAAGCTTTCCATTGTATCCTGCTCCTTCCTCCAAGCAGCCTTTGTCACATGCTGACTCTCAGCAGTCACTTAAAGCTACCAGGAAACTGCACTGCAGTTCAAACACGAAAAAAATGTTTAGCTCTTCAGGATTGAGAGCTCTAAGGATGTGCAGAGGAGTTCTCAGGTGAGCAGTACTTGTACAGCCACAAGCTGCCAAAATCAGTGTGACTTTCATACATGGCTATGGGCAACAAAATCGCATCTCAGTTTGTTTGTGGGAGCAAATAAATGTGTGAGAACAAAACCTGGCTGTTCCAGGGCAAACTGGCAGCTGAGGTTAAGGAGCATCCTCTGGTCTTCTGGGCATCCTAACTCATCAGTTCTTCTGGGTCTCACATCAGCATCTCCTGTGCCTCTTCCTCAGCCTTGTCTGTAACCTCAGATGTGAAGTCATCCCGATCTGTGTCTCACCCAAACACGTTTAGGAGAGAAACGGATCGTAGCTCTGCTTCTAGACTGTGTTACTTTGCTTTGATTTTGGTACTAGTTGACTTTATGGGGCAAAGGAATCAATTTTAAAGCTTCCATTTTAAAAAGCTTGGGAGTTACATTGGAGTTTCACAGTGAAAAGTAGACCAGTTAAATAAGGAAATTTCAAGATACTGGTCTTAGGATTCTGAGCTTGCTTCATCATGTGAAGCTTTAGAATAGTCTAAGTTTTTATCTTGGTCCAGATGGAGCTACAATCTATGTGATGGAACATAAACACAGTGTGTTTTGCTGTATTTGAAGGAATTGCTGTTCCTTGTTTTCTTCAAAGTCATTCCCACACAACAAAAGTAGTGTTGCTCATACTGAATAGAGGATACCAACATCTCTGGTTGAGAAAGACTGGAGATTTATATGGCTGAGGCTCCTTAGGATAGCTTGTTTGTTCAGTAAACATTTGTAACCATCTGGTGTGCTGTGTTTTTCAGTAATGAGATGACTGTGAAAAAATATAAACTTTTAAATTAGTGAAATTAATAATTAGGAGAAATAAATATTTTAATGAGATACTTGATTGGTGTTGTCATTAGTAATGCCAGAGGTTATGATCCCTTTCAGGCTTCAGATGCTTGAAACCCTATAGGGAGTGTTTTGAAAGTAGTAGTAAAATGCATGCACCTTTTCTGCAGAAGTTTTTCAAGACTTAAAAATATAACTTAAGCATTCAAATAACCCTGTGACAGAGAAAAGAATATCCACTGCAAAAAATATCTTCTGGCACAAATTCCATTTTTTATTCAGTTTTACTGCAGCACTTTTCCCATAGAAATACTGTAAGCCTTAGCCAGGTCATTACCCTGAGTACCTTCTGCCTACCTGCAGTTCTCCACTGAAGTTTTGCTAGCATCAGGTTTTCAGCTGAATATAATCAACCTTACTGGAATTGAATAATAGGACCAAGGGCTTGGCAGTTGTTATAAACTAGGTCTGTCTCTGTAAATGAAATCTGGGGATAGGGTTGGAGGGGAGGGAGGAGGATTAGGGGTGTTTTTTCAAACTGGGAATATATAGAGCAGTATTGGTTATGACTGAAAATGCAGTGACCAAAGTAAGTGACTTCGTTTTCTGTCAGGAGATCAGTGCCTAAGTGTTGTTCAGGGCAAGGCCTCAAGCAGCACAGCACACATGATGTGTACCTGATTAGCTGGCCAAAAGCTGGTGTTATGATTTGGCTTCTACAGAAGCTACTTCTTTTTGATGCTAAGATTTGTGCTGGATTAAATGGGGGATAGTTACTGGGCTGCTCTTTATGAGGCTAGCACTGATCCAGCCTTGCTTACAGCATTGAGTTAACAATTAATAGGGACTAGCTGCCAAACTCTCCTCATGTAAAATAAGGAGCAAATGAAAGATCAATTCTTTTCTTAACAGTACGAAAATTATCATCTGAGTTTGTATTTCACAGAATGAGGCATAGCAAAATTTTTCTTTATGTTTCTAGTGGCCAAAACCTGAAGGCCTCTGAGAGTTTGCTTTATTTAGAGTCTTTCTGGATTGGCATAATATTGAGCATGCAATTAAATTGTGCATACTCACTTAAAAACCAGAAAAGCTTCTCATATTCTAGCTCCATCTTTCCTGCCTGACCTATCAGAAAGCTGTGAGTAGTTCAGCTCTCTGTTGGCTCTACAGCTGTAGTACAGCTCTCTTTTCTGGCTTTGAGCCACGTAGAGATTTGCCTCTGTAACAGGAATCCCCAGCATCCCCTTGGAAAGAAGACTTTCCAAGGCAGAAGTGCTAAAAAAAAAGGGCAGCATCTAATTAAACCATATATTATTTACCTTTTTTGCCTACATGAGGAATTTCTAGACTCATGTTATAATTGTTCCCATGCTCATGCTAGCTGCTGGAGGAATATTATGTAGGAAAAGAAGGAATAAATGAAATTGCTGTAGAAAAACAAGTCTGTTGGGCTTTTTCTGCTAAGTGTATACATGTCTACTATTGCAGATGAAAAGATCCCTGAACAAGCAAGGACTGTGTAACAAAGTTCTAGCTGGAAAATATATAGTCTAGAAAACTACTCTGTGGAAAAGAGAGGAAGGAATGAAAATAATTTCAGTAACTCAATTTAGTGATCCAATTCATGATGTCAGCCACATGTTATTCATGCTGGGTAAGCATTTGCATGCAGCAGCAAGTGCCATCAAAACTAGCATATCACAGAATTGGACTCTGGCACAGTAGCAGATTATGAATTAACTTTTCCAAATTTTAAGGTGGTTCATACCAATAACATAAGAGCAAATCTGCTGTGAGATTACTTTGCTGTGATTCACTTTCGTCAAGCAGAAGCAGCATGATATTAAGGAATCCATTTGAAATGACACAGGGAAATATAGAGTAAGAGAGAGCAAAAGGGAAGAATTTTCAATTGAGGCATTATGTCATAAAATAATTGCATTCTGGTTTTTTTATATGTATCACTTAAATTTGGGCTAAAATTGAATGTCAGTATGTGTTATTTGCATTATCATAAATTTCTTTGGTAACAGTGATTCATCTCGCCACACATAGTGACTCCAGTGTAGATATAAGAACCATTTCTCTTTGGCAACTCTAATAATTATGCAGTGGGGTCCATACTTAGAGGCAGCCTATCCCTGCTTAGGAAATTATTCACTGAAGCCATCCAGAACAATTACAAAGTGTATGTCTTTATATATTATTCTATATTACCCATTGCTGTGTCTAACTGCTGCAGATTTTTGTCTAATAAATGTCCATTTAGGAAGAACTATAACAGAGACTCTCTGGAAACTTTCCAGGTAGCACAACAGACGTGTGGCATTGCTTTGCTCTGAACAAGGCACTGTCAAGGCCCAGTGCCCGCTGTGTTCTCTGTTGGCACACAGCAGCCTTTTTATTAAGAGGCAGAGTTCTTTCTGCACATACTTATTTAAAGACTTATGGTATCTTCTGAGGCAACAGAAGCTTACCTGTGTATAAAGTAAATTGTTCTGTTGAGCAGAGAAACAGTACAGTGAAAGAAACTAGCTACACTAGTGGACTTTGGTTTTGCTCTGTGTTGAATTAACTTTTACAAGGATTGTGTGTGTCATTGCTCTGTATTGAATCAGGAGGTGTATAATACTGAGTTTTTCTTCCATGTAAACTTAGGAAAGCTACTTAATTTCTAGGTCTCTCAGAAACAACTCTTAAAGAGACAAACCATTGTCACAGCTGCTTTGTTCTAACTGACCCTGAAATGTTTGGGGTCTTTTTTGCTACATTTGTTTGTTGTTCTATGTCACAGACATATTTTCTGAAAAATCCTTTCACTAGGATTTTTTCTCCTGAGAAGCTGGGAAGCTTCAGCTTGTCCATGTTTTGCTACTTTGGAATGTGATTTGGAGAATTGTTTACCCAGCATGTGAATTGTTTTTAGTTGATGACCAATGATGGCCAGCTGTGTCGAGGCTGTGAGCAATCACAAGACTTTATTATTCATTCCTTTCTACCTTCTGGTGTATGCTTTCTCTTTCTTTAGTATAGTTCTAATATATTATTTTCTTTTAATATAATACAATATCATAAAATAATAAATCAGCCTTCTGAAACACGGAGTCAAGATTCTCATCTCTTCCCTCATCCTGGGGACCCTCAAACACCACCGCAGTTCTACAGTATTTTTTCACAAAGGTTACCCAACAGGTCAAAGGATTAAGAACATTAATTTATTTGGTGAAGGGGAAATTTTTGTAGCTTTGAAAGGAAAATGTAAATAATTTACAGAATGGGGTAGTATTAGCATCTGTATTTTAGTTCATTACATTGTTTTTTTAATAACTTCAAACCTTTTAGCACAGCATTTTTGTTTAGTTGAGGAGTGGCTTATTAAGTGGATTCATAATTAGCCATCTTTCTTTGTCATGGTCCAATATGCTAGAGCTTATTATGTTATTTTGTTATTTTTCTTTTGGCTATTTCAGGTATGAATACAAGCAAGAGCGAGACAGTGAAAGAGCACCCATTAAAACCCTCTAGAAGATCTATGCCATGCCTTGCCCAGAGCCAAACACATCCTCAGAGCCTGAGCAAGCATTCATCATTTCTGCAGACAAACCGTGTGCAGCCACAGCTCCAGCCCCAGCCTTTGAGTGCAGGGACGTCAGCAGCTGCAGTGGATATCGTGTCAGAACGAGGTAGGACGTTTTTCCCTTTCAGGAGTTTGCTCCAGCTCTGATAAACTGATTTATTTAGATATCTATGGTTTGTTGAAGAAACGTTTTTGCAGAAAACACCTACACATATTACATTAACAGGTTCTTAAGTGAGTCTTTATAATGTTTGAAGTGAGTTTTAAACTAATTTTTATTTTTGTCAATGATGACATTATTTCCTTCTCACTGGTAATAAGACAAGAAAGTCTTGCTCATTTATGCTGGAGAAAAGTATGAAAGTTTTTGTAGTCTGTCCTAGAGGAGAAAGAAAGAATAAATATTAGGCTTTAGGCAAAAAATGTCTTTATATATGAACATGTAGAAGGAGATGCATTCATTTACAAACAGTAGAATCAGGCAAGAGCTGTATGGAAAGAATGAAAATGAATGGAGAAAATCCTTCCAAATTTTAGCTCGTGTGGGATAAGGAACTACTTTTATTTTAGGATTTCTAATTTAACAGATACACATGCCTTATCAGAGGAGCTAGTATAGTTGGAATCCCAGTCACTGTGTGTCACCTGTTACCAACTCTTGCCATCCTCTATTGCCAGATGTGTGTGAAGCTTTGTAGAATAAATTAACTCATCTGGTAGTAGCTTTTGATAAGTCTGTCTTTAATGTTGATAGACACTAGGCATTATTTATTGTTCTTGTGAGTTATTTTATTGAGTTAAACTTCTCTTAGTAATAGAAAGTGTTCATTAGAGTGATCTTACTCTTTTTTTCTATTGATAGAAAGTGCTCTTCAGAATTTCAGTCCAAAGTGTTTTATTTGAGTTACGACTTTGAAAAGAGTAAAGAGTTTTTACTTAGAAAATACATGTCAATGCTGATACAGTTATTGCATTTATTTCAGCTAAAGTGGTGGAGACTTTGGAAAGCAACTTGCTTAAACTGTCTAATACAGAATACGGTGATCCATTTTCAGGTAAGTTGTTGTCTGAACTGAAACAATGAAAAATTACTGATTCTTTGATTAATCTCACAGTATTTAAGTGTGGAAAGGCCATACTTACCCTGAACTTCCATTTTTTTTGAAAGGGGAGACTAAGTGTGATTAAAGAAATGTGTCTGTCATAAATTTCCTGATACTGTCTCACCTTTTAGACTAAAAGCAGGGACTGAAGACAGAGAAGTGTCATATATTGAATATATCCTTTTCCTATAACAATTCTTCATAAAATAATAATTTTGAACAAATGTACTTGAAATTCCTTTAAAGTTGTCATTATTCACTTATTTTTCCTATATAGTCATGTCATTCGCTATTATTGTGGCTGCAGTTCTGTTGTTGGGCTTTTTTTGATATTTTGTGTATTTGCTTTGGACATTTACATAAAAAGTGTTAAAATTTGGGAAGCAAAAAAAAAAGGTAATGGAGAAAATAGCCATATTTGTAATGCTTTGCTACCATTTTGATATTGTAATTAAGTCAGAATAAGCAGGGAAAAAGTTATTCTTAGAATCATCTTGTAACTGCAAATTGAATCTGTAAATACACACATAGGTAGTAATTTACAAGTTCCAGGATGAGGTAGTTGCCATCTATTTTACCCATACAGACACAAAGATATTTCTGCACCTTGCACAACTACTAGGAAAGATATTTTTGCTCACAGTTGATGAACATCAAACTATAAATCAGATATTCATGCTGAATGAAAGATATCAAGATATCTGCTTTCAGAAAGCTAGGTCTGCTCACCTCTCACCTCTAAATAATTTAGCATTGAATTTTCTTGATCCCTAAAATATATGATAGATAAGAGTGCTCGTCAAGGTTTCCTGGGTAGGTAACTACTGGAAATAGTAAAATTGATATTTCTTCAAAACCAGATATTCCAAAATGATGGCACAAAACAAGAATTTGGCATGAAGATTATATAAGAAAATCAAGTCTTAGTAAGGTTCCAGTTAAAGCTGCTGCCCTTTCCTGGGGTAATTGGTTGGCAAGCATGGATACTAGGAGATTTTACTGTTATAATTTCCTTCTTTTCTTTTTTTTTAATACCCTGCTCTATTTGTAATATCTTGCTCTATTTTATTATGTATGTGAATTGCTTACACATACACTTTCTGATATTATTGTGTATTTATATATGTCAGCAGTAATTCTTTCTCATAATAAACATTGCTGGTTTTCAGTCCCATTACTTAGTTTTAACCTGAAAAGATACATGGAGGGCTCAGCAACTCAGGAGAAGATAGATTGATTCCTTTTAGTTCAAAATTGTGTTAAATTTTGGTGTGCATGTTTCTTCTCTTCTGGCTACAGCTATGCTTGTGGAAGAAAAAGTATTTAAATAGTTGCCCTTTACTAACTTGATTGATGAATTTGCCCATGTTTAGTCAATCCCAAATTACATGAGTGAAATCTGTTAAGTTATTCACAGTTATAGAAGTTTTAGAAATGTAACTGATTAGGTTTGTCAGTTATAAACAAGCAAGAAAACAGTATTAAAAACATTACTGCCAGAGGTCAGTAATAAGAATTGCCTTATTTTTATATTAACACTATCTGTTAGATTCATGAAGAGAAATAAGGGACAGTTAAAAGGTGCATGTAACAAAATTGCCTGTATACCTTCAAAATACAGTTTGTTGATCCTTAAGTATTGTGTTTATGTGGGTAAGAATTTGTCTCCAAGTCTAAAATTTTCAGTTTAATCCTGAGTCTGGATGTAGATAGGGAGGGGATGTAAAAAATAAACCTGAAAAAGGAATATTGCAGCTTCAGCTTTGACCCCCAGATAGGTTAAAACAATGCTTTTGTGGGTACTCTGGCAGTTTCATGGAGTTTGAAAAGAAGGCTGTTTAATGGGTATCATCATCTTAGTGAATATTTTCAAACTGCTCCCCTGAGAACATGAAAGAAAGCGGAATTAAGTGAATGTGGTGAATTTTTAATTAGGCAGTGTTGTAGAAATGTAGGCCAAATGGCTTTCTCCTCTTCCTGAGCTGTTTGTAGACAAAATTATCTTGAGCGAAGATTAACAGGCATCAAATAAAGAACTTCAGTGGAAAGCTTCACTTTTATTTCAGTTGACTATAGCTGAGGCTGTCAGACAAGCTTAGTTAATGATCTTAGTAGATTTATGAAGTAAAAAGTCAATGTATTACACCTTTGTTAATTACACATAAATAAATGGGATAAATGGGATCAAGGACATTATGGATTTGTGTAATTTTTCCTCTGCCAGTTTTAGGTAGTCAGTAGTGCTTTTAGTTTGAGGAAGTGGTACATTCAATCCAAGTAATAAATATTGAGCTTCTCTAATGTATATTGTGAACTTTGAGGTTTCAGGCATAATGGAATGCCCCTCTTTCTGACTCACTCAATCCCCTCCCACTTCTGGTGGGAGACACAGAAGGTGGAGAGTACTGGGTTGAAATAAGAACAAAAGTAACACTCAGTAGCAAGTAAAACATCACAAACTAATTTATTCTTTTTTTAATTCTGTTTTTTTCCCCCTTAGATTAATTATGAGGATTTGTGCATAATAACTCATCTTTCTTAGCAGGACATGAAAGCTTTCCTAGATAATTAACAATTTTGCTGTGACAGATACCTTGTATTCTGAATTTATCATGAATCAAATTACTACAGAGTTTATATATAAAAACCAATGTATTTATATGCTATGCTGCAATACAGTGAACTGACAAATGAAGAGCTGAACCAAAATTAACAATCCAACAAAGAATCATAATAACTGAATGATAAAAACTACTTTTCAATGCTCAATTATTGAGGTGTTTGTAAGTCAATTTTGTGATGTTATCATAAATTGAAATGGGCATATATATATGTATAACCTGTGCAGTACATATCATGTTTATATAAAAAGAGGGACTGAAAGATCACAGAAGATATGATTCCAGGAAACCAGGTTCAGTTTCTGCTTCAGGAGAAATGTGGTGTTTCCATTATGCCTTCTAGAATAATTTTATCCTAAGTTTGTGGTCAGTGCCTACATAAATGAGGGTGTCGCGTCTGTTGTGGTTGTGTAGTGAGGTGGCTGACAAGCTGCATGAGAACAGTTTGTCCTATACCCAGAGCTGTCCAGCTCCCGTGTTGGAGCTGGTTCATGCCTGGAGAGCTGGCAGTATGGATGAAGAAATTATGTAATCTGTTCAGTGCTCATGGGAACATAATAAGGATTAGTCTTTGGACTTAATATGCAGTCCAAAATATTGATGTGCTTTAGGCATTTAATCTGTCTCTAGCAGTTTTATGCACCATTTTAACTCATCTAAAGGGCAATAATATATGACTGACTCCCTTTTAAAAAAATTAGAAATATTCTGTGTAACAGTTACCGCTGTCTGAAAGTTCATAAAAAATTGTACATTGAGGAAGGTCTTTGTCTGTTGTGTGTAGGCACAGGGTGTGTGGTGATTGGGAGTGGGGCTGTGGCTGATCCCCAATTGGCTGCAGCTGTGCAGAACAGGTGAATGCTATTGAAGGTGAGGAGCCATGGAGTGCTCAGGGGTGCTGAGCAATCACACAGGGAGCACACAGGTGCAGTGCATCAACATGAGGGGTATAAAAGGTTGGGCTGAAGAGCAACAAGCAGCAGATGCTTGAAGCTTCTTTTGGTGTAGGTTGTGGCTCCAGAGTTGTTCTGGTAGTTATGGTTTTTCATATCTAAATATACATACACAGGTAGGTGAAAACCTTTCTATGTTATCTGTATAAGATAGTGTTCCAGGTGCACAGCAAAATAAAAAAAGACCTAAATCTATCACAATATCATTTATCTAGGTGTCTAGTGATGTTCTTCCTCATGATTTGCCTAGGATTTAAATTAGGACAAAAGGGGGTTATTTACTTGACCAATAGTCTCTTTCTTACTAAAGCTTTGCAAAGCCTATCCTTAAATGTGTAAAGGTTCAAAGGATTGAGTAGAGTTGTTGTATCAAAGTTTATGAAACAGAAACTATTTAGAAATGTTTATATTAATTTTTCTTTCCATAACTATGCCACTTTTCAATTGAAAAACATTTGCTACCAGACACTACTGGGTATATATAAAATATATTGCTGGATTGCAGGATACAGAGAAATCAGAACAACTGCTTTTTATTTCCTGTCATAAAATTGAAATGCAGTTTTGGCCCTTCAGAAAAGTATGATAGTAAGAAAGGTAGCCAAGCAGTTAAGACCCAAAAAGATTCAAAATGTGAACTTAGTTATCTATTTCTAAACTAAATGCTTCTGCATTACTGTGTAAAGGATTTCCAGAAATGAAATTGTCTTCAATGTTTTATCATGTAAGTGACCTTATAGGGCAAATCTTACTGTCATGTGTTAAGTGTTGCCAAATTATGTGTCAGGAAGCATTGATTAGTTTTTGTGATTGTTGGGGTTTAAGTTTCTTTCCTTTTGCTCCTTTATACTTATAAAATTTACTTATAGAATTTTTTCCCATAAGTTGCTAGGACATATTAGCAACTGAGTACTTGGGAAAACCAAAGAAATGGCCAAGCCTCAGGGGAGGAGAGCATGTGTTTGCACTTGTCTTGTCCCAGAGTTTCTCTCTGATGGGGGGAGATAGCGCAGGAGTTGGGCAGGTAAAGGACAGGGCTGGGGTGGCTGCTTGGGAGGGAATTGGCTGCTCCCGAGCCCAGCCCAGACCTGCTTCTGCTGCCCTGGGGTGAGCCTGTGCTTGTGAGAACAGCCCCTGAACATGGTCTTTGAGATGTAAGACTTGGTAAAAAGATGGATGTTTAAATCTTTCTGCTGTTAATAGGTACTCTGGAAACTCACACAGAGAGGTCATGTAAAGGGTCATGCAGGTTGTGTTTGCGTCGGTGAGACTCTTGTAGCTGAGAAGCTGTGTTGGGTCTGTGTGAGCAGTGCAGCTTCAGGACTGGCTTCTCTGAGAAGCTGCTGGAAGCTTCACCTGTGTCTGGTGGAGCCAATGGCAGCAGCTCCAAGGCGGACCTGCTGCTTGGCAAGGCTGAACTCATCAGTGACTGTGGAAGTGCCTTTGGAGTAACAGATTTGAGAAGGGAGAAAAAAATACACAAGGGCAACTTCAACTGGAACAGAGATTCTCTTGCAGCCTCTGGTGAAAACCATGGTGAGGCAGGCTGTGTCCCTGGAGCCTGTAGAGGTCCATGGTGGAGCAGGGACCAGCAGCTTACAGCCTCAAGGGGCTTGTTCAGAGCTAAATAATATTCCCCTTTTTACTGTATTCATAGCATTGCATAGTGGGAGAGTACTTTTATGTATAAAATTAGTCATCAACTGCTGAAAGATAGAATAGGAAGTATCTTTGAATTTTAGAAAACGTTTCTTTATAAATTCACTTAATTTTAAGGGCTGTTTGGGGTTTTTGTTTTGCTAAAACAAATTTTGACTACATTTCAGGCAAAATAGCAGACGTCTCTAGGTGAAAGATTTTTTTTTATAGAAGGGAGATGCTGCAATTTGAAATATGTGTCCTTGAAAGCATAAAAATGTTTAGCAGGTGAAGTGCATTGAGCACAGAGGGAGAACTTATTCATAACTTCAAATTACTTAAATTTAACAAGTTGCAAAAGTTTTGCAAATGTTTTTTGTTTTTTAGTACTAGGTGTACTCATAATGTCTAATCCTCTAAAACTTCCCTCATTGAAATAGACTTTTTAATATAAGTACAGTCTTTCTTTCAGCTTAAATGACCTAGTTTAGGTTTCATAGGCCTGCCTCTTCATTTTACTGGCTCCTAAAATGGAGAGCTCAAACCTAGGCATAAGTCAAATATGCAGAGTTGCTAAGTACTGTTTCCTACTTTATATACCTACCTGAAGCCTTCTTTTAACTGCATTCATTTTTGTTGAGCAGGGAGTAAGTTGTATATGAAGTTATATCATTGTTTAAAATAAATAAAACTCCTGAATTAGGCACATTGACAAGAAAAATGAGCTGGTTTGTACATTAAGAAATCCCGTCACAGATTTACCATGGTTAATATCAGTGTTAGAAATTATCAAGGGTACATTTTGTATAATCATTATGTAGTAACTAAATTGAGGAAAAAATAGTGCTCAGTAAATGTTCTGGTTTTAAATATTTTAATATGTGAAATGTTTAGGGTGCATGAGATAATTGTGGTTGTTTTTCTTAATTTCTATAGTACTTAGTGTGGAGAATTTAACTGAACAACTTAATGAAAAATACTTAAATGTTTCAGATGAACATTTATGAATTTAAAATCCATGAAATTCAAGATTGTGGTTCCCACAGCAACCACGACTTTTTTCTTGGCTTCTATTTAGGGTTTCAAAATACTGAGCTAAATGCTGTTGCTAGTCCACCTGACTTTTCCCATGTTGATGTGAAAGCTGAGATGGGAACTTGACTCAGGATTTGTGGGTAAATTTTTTGTCTGAATATGTTTCTTTTTCCGATTTGGCCAAGATAAAATTGTGTGGCAATGATTATTCCGTCTTTTTAATCTCTAATATATTTTTTTCAAATCTAGCCATTTTCTAACATGGATTGAAGCTTTACAGTCCAGCACTGCACAGGCATTGCCCTTCATTTGACTTCTTCTGGGTGTGTAGGGCAAGAATTGTCATGATTTTTGATGGACAATATGGGTGATCTCTGAGGGAGGTACTCAGTTTCCTGCAGCTCTGTTATGGTACTCAGCTAAGTTTTCGTAAAAACTTCAGCTGAGCAATTAAAACCAAATCCAGTGAGAAAGCGAACGTTTTCTCCATGAAGATCTCCTACCTCCTACCACCATCCTTGAACAAGGTACCCCTATTAAAATGTGTTCTGAGGCACTTACTGCAATATCAGACTGCAAATTTTCAAATGGAATATCTGCATGTGTGTAGGGGAACTGGCATTTCAGTTGTTTGTTTAGATTTGAAACATGAGATGTTCCTCTGGTCTGCAGGCTGTGCTGCCTGTTTGGTGAAACATCCTGAGCCTCAACAACTGTGACTTGAGCAGTTGAATATTCATATTACTTTGTTTTTTAGAACTACTGTAAAGGACATCATGGACTTTTTTATTTGAAGGCTAATAAAAAAAAAAAAAACATTTCTCTTGGCCTTCTACTAGAAATAGCACTCACATCCAATTTAAGATGAACATTGTAACATTTCATGTATCAAGCTTTAACAGGAAAATAAGTGCATTATTAAAATTTGTACACATAAAATGAATATTCAACTGTGGCTGTAATAATGCTGTTTGTTTCTATCCATTATAATCTAAAATGAGCCCATTGTTTTCTTCTGATTTTCCTTCAGATGTAGGCAAGGAAAAAGATACATACACAGATGATTCAGAACATGGGAATTATGATGCTCGTACAGATCAGTCATTGCTTATTCAAAATAAGCTCACCAGGCAGAAAACAGAACCTCGAACTAAATCTTCTTTAAAGGTAATGGGCACAAAATTCTATTAAATTGTATCAGCTGTCAGAATGTGCTTAAATATTTTTAAAATGCAATTTCTAAAGCAACATATGTTGCAGCCTAAGTAAATAGGCGTCTCATGGTAAGAAATTTAGGTGGCTCCCAAATTGTTGAAAATGATAAAACTTGTAAAATAGTGTTAGTTAATGGTTTTAAATAACTTTTAATTATTTTTTTTAATTAATCATAAGCAGTGTTTTAAGTCTTAAATCACTTTTAGTTAGCATTTAGCAAAATTGTCATGAGCTGCTGTTATGGGAACACAACTGCATAAAATTACTGAAATTAGTTTTGTTAAACTGAACTTGATATGCTTCAATGAAGAAAGCCTGGGAGAAGAAAGATGTATTGTTGAAATTGGATACAAGGAGTGCAGAATTTTTGGATCACAAGGTCATTTTGCAGAAACCAGAACATAAAGAAGAGACTAAGTATGTGAGCTGGAGGAAAGAGATATTAAAAATATGGACTAATTAGGATGTTCCAAGAGAACTAAATAAGCAATTGAGGATAGAATATTAATGAAAAAGAATGATGCAATTTAGAACTAATGAACACAAATATCTTTGTTTGCTAAAAATGTATAAATAGGTTAAAAAGTTTTCTACAAATTTTTATTTGGAGGCTGGAATTTTGCCTTGCTTGCTAACATTCAGAAGACAGTGTTAGAGTATTTTATTCATCCTGATGATTTTGGAAAGTGTTAGTAACAATATTATAGTTTGAGTGACAGAATCAGTGAATGGAATTCTCTGTACTAAAATCAAGCAAAATTATATAAAATCAATGATTCTTATGTGTTTTATTGACTCATCTAAGAGGTAGTAGCCTTCTTTCAATAAATTTATGTTGCACAGAATTTAGGGTATAGGATTCTTAACATGGAGTGGAATTCATGTTGTCTGGAAGGTCTCAGAAATTCTGAGAGTGTAGAAGAAGTATGTTCATGTAGCAAATGGTCAGTCAAGTGTGATCTAGATAGAGTATAAGATCCTTCTTCTAAGTAGCATCAAAATGATATCTAGACCCATTAAAAGAGAGATAAAACTCACTTATGTGTAGGTGAGTGTAGGACTGTTGTCAGAAACCTCAACTGGAAGGCAGTTGAGTTTTCAAGCACTGGAAAAGCCATCTCATCAGATAAATCTGGCATGCTATCTTGCTTAGTAATTGCATAATTATACTATTCATCACAATGCATTTTCTACAGCACTTAATCCACTATAATGTCAAAGAATTATGATGGATTTTCTGTTCACAAAATGTATATTTTTTTAGTCATACTTTCAAGTAGGAGACCCTTAATTCTCCTTTCCATTAAGCCTAACTGCTTGCATATATATGACAAATGACAACCTCCAGAAGTTCTGAATAATTTCTTCGTCACACTGTGGAAATAGTGAATTCTGCAGCACAGGGTTTTTTTTACTGTAGCATCAGTAATCCTGTATTACAAATCTCTAGTAATGCTTGAATTACTGTAAGCCTCTCTGCTGCACTCACAGCACATGTGCTGTTCTCTTCAGGAGACCATTCCAGAGTTGTTTCATGGATGGTACCTGTGGCACTTTGTGGTTTTGGCATTGAATTAATTTTTTTCAAGTTCTACAACAGCTCTAATGCTTGTCACACTCATCATCATTACTGCAGTATTCTGGAACACAGGTAGATGTGTCCTCTGAGGCTTCATTTCATAGGATCCTTTTAGAAAGATCTTCTATAGTAGTAGCTATGTAATAATTTTTAAATAGGCTTACAGGAAATTGTATTTACAGACTGGGAATCTGTGACATGAAAATGAAACTTCAGAGATTATATATTAAATCCATATGTCATATATGTAACCTTTTCTGGTTACATTTTAATCTAAACTGTTGCAATGAGAACTTCTTGTATCCAAAGATTTTTTTTTTGTCTGTTTCTGCAAAAGTGGCTGAACAAAGACAAATAATAATGGATGTTCTTGTTTGATTTTGTTGATTAAACAGGCAAAGCCTTTTATGTTAATTCTGGCTGAAAAGGCAGAAAAGCAATGTGGAGTCTGTAGAATTTAGATCCTGTTACTGAGCACTAAATAGTTTTAATAATAGGTAAGGCTGCTGCCAAAACAATCTAGTAACAGATGCTCTACTGTCTGTCTAGTAACAGGGATTTCACTGCACTAAAGCAAAATACTTTTTTTTCTATTTCCATGTGAAATAGAAAATAATTACTAGTTGCATTTTTTTCCAAGCCCTGCATTCAGGATGGTTATGAAGTTCATAATCAGCCAGTAAGCTAACTTTCTTTCAAAGTTTAAAGAGGAGCTTTATATTTGTATTAAGTTTAAACAAAAATACACTTTTTATGTTACAGTCTTTGTATGTACCAAACTACTGAGCAAACTGGTTCAGAGTTTAAAAACAGTCTTCTCACAGTGCCTCTGGCTTTTAACTTTGATAATTTCTTTTATCACAACAACCACTCTGGAAACTTCCTTCTCCATTTAGAAGGACTGTTTCTGCGAATGAGGTGGTTTGGTTTAACCTTAGCTGGGTTAAACCCAAAATTTAAAACACAGCCCTGTACCAGTTACTGTGAAGTAAATGAACTCTATCCCAGCAAAAAGCCACACCTGAAGCAACCAGGATTCTCCTTCTCTTCATCTTTGCCTGCTTCCACAGGAAAAAGGCAAGGGGAATTTAGATTAGTCTTAGAAAGGAATTTAGTCTTAGAAAAAAAGTTTTGCCTTTGGATTATTATAGGAGTCTTTGTGGCAATTATTTTAAAAAGCCTTAGGGAAATTTCTTCCCCAAATTGATATAAAACTAGCAAAAGAAGGCTTCTAATTCTTTCTGAGACTGCTGAAAACACAGAATACTGCAGTACAGCTTTACAGCTGGTAAGTACTCTCACATATTTGAAGTGTAAACTGATCTGCCACAATAAAAAGGTCTCCTCAGTCTGACCAGATAATGAGAATGTGAAACACTGCATTGACCAGGAGTACAAGGATAAAAACATATTCTTCTTCTCTACTTTTTAATGTTTCTAAAATTTTTGCTTGTTTTAGAAGGGTTGTTGTATTCTTGAGAGATTATGGGGAAAATTGCAAAAAAATTTGTCTGCAATTACTTCTTGGTGCCATTATCTTTCTCAGCAATAACTTGGCTGGATACTTCAGCGGTAGTGAACATGTCTTGCTGACATGATGAAACCCAATACACTTTTTTTTTTCAGGAATTGTTTAGTTTTCAGCTTACATGTGTGATACCTCCATAAATCTGATTCTTGTTATTACATTTTAAAGCTTTGAAAAATCAGAGCATTTTCTTGGAGCAACCAGATGCCAGTGTATTCATCTACTGTTCTTGTTTGCATGATTATGATTTATAACTGATAGTTTCCTATAGTGTGGGTTGGTATATTTCAGAATCCACAGATTTCATACTGAAAAATTGTGAGTCGCTCAGACCCATGAAAAAGCTGTCATCATTATCCATCTCTGCCAGCTTCTCATCACCAGCTGCTCTTGAAATTGCACAGAAAGTACCACTCTATGTACATGGTTCTGCCAAGGGGTCTCACAAGGAAAAATGAGGCCAACAAGTGTCTATTGAGCAAAAACGAGTAGTATCTGCTTTGCAAGGCAAATGAAGAAAATGAGAAGGTCCCTGGGTGAAAAGCTGATACTTGAAATGCTCAAGTTTCCTTAGGAAAGGGAAGCAGGCTAAAACAGACTTTATCTTGAGTGGAAGGCAATGTTTTCCTAGAGAAGTGGCAAAATCAGTAGCAGCCAATTCTTTACCTATTGCTGTTGCATGTATAGTAGCAAGATAGGAATATTTGAGAAATTGCTCTTCCATTTCCTTTCATTCACTAGATCACTGTTACTCTCTTTGATCCTGTAAATATTTTATCTAGGTAATGCATTTTGCTGTCTGGGAAGGTAAAGAAATAATTTTTGGAACAAGGTTTGCATTGTTATCTCTTGGATTCAGGAACTATGAAGAAATGCTACCTATACAATGGCCCAATTTACTGCCTTTTTCTGGTAGTCCAAAAATGCAGTCTAATAACACAGAAGTGAATAAAGCCTAAAAGCAATGATAACAGATAAAATCCTTATCCCAGAGTGGAAGGATGTGGTAAAGTGCAACAAAAGTTGACTTCATGCTTGTGCTTTTAGTGCTTGGCTCTCATTTCCTGTGAGGTTTTATTAAAGAAAAAAAGCCAAAAAAGCTCAGAAAATATTTGAGGAAATTTGGGGTAAGTGGCAAGTAATTTCAACTTACAGACAAAAATGTTTGAAAAAAAATATGTAAAGAAGAATTTTCAGTGGTTATGTTAGTATGCTTCTTAAGACATCCCTATTAGACCTCAAGAGCAAATTAGAAGAGGTTTAATATAAAAAAGCCTCCTCCTGTCTCCAAACATCGTCCATTGCTGCTCCCTCATATGGTAATATTGAAAAGACTTCCTTTAAAAATTTTGCATATCACCTAACCCACTCCTTTCCTGAAGTCTGATATGTTTTTCATAATATATACAAATGCGTTTTTCATGCTTGCTCTATAAGTCTGAGTAGACTATAAATGGAAAAAAAAAATCGTCTGTGAAGAAGCTGAAGTAATTGCTAAATTAGTAAATCCTAAAAGGTTAAAATGCAGTTTAACTAGGAAGGTCAGATATTTCTGGAAGTCTTTGTCTCCACAGAAAAAAGCTTTGTTCTGCCCAGCAGTGTAATCTCACAGAAATGCAATAGTGTGGGTAATTATGGAAGCCTGTCATGTTGTCTTTGATGCCCAGGGTAGTTTGGATGTCTTTGCATATGCAAATATGTCCCCAATTTTCTTTCCTAGGTTATTTGCACAAGAAGAACGCTAAAGCAATATACATTTGAAATCATCAATCTGTTTTTGAAATTAAGTAATTGAAAGGATGATTCTAGTAAATCTGTTTATGGTTTATCTATTCCTACAAACAC